TGAAGGGGAGCAAGTGTGTTACCTTTGGGAGAAAGGAAGAGTGCATACCGAGATAGGATCGTCGTGAACTCTCAGGTATACTCAGCTTCTGAGAGATTTCCTCACAGTCGAGTACCAGCAATGCACAAGAAATTGATTTTTAAAAAGGTATGCACGAGAGAGTGATCGATAAGTTTCCTCCCTGTTGGACGGAGGCCCGATCTACACGGGATGGGAGAATCCGTCATCTGCTGGGAGGCGAGCTGTTGGACCAGCGGGCACAAATAAAGGACCAACGGGTGGAGAGCGTGGAGGGTAACTGTTGGCCAAAGAGACAATCATCACAGAGTTGGTGGCACAGAGTCTTACAAACACTTGACTAGCGAGAGTCTAGACTTGAGCTCGGGGTTTGACGCAGGCAAACCAGGGTGGAAAGACCTGCCGTGCAGGGTCCCAACCCCAACTGGGGCTGGCATTGCTTTGAACAGTCGTCGTAAGTGCTCTTGCCTTAGTCATGCGTCTGCGTGAGACTGAACTTCCGGTGAGTTGCAGCACTGCCTGCATGAGAGAGAGAGAGAGAGAGAGAGAGAGAGAGAGAGAGAGAGAGAGAGAGAGAGAGAGAGAGAGAGAGAGAGAGAGAGGAATGTTGGACTAGTTGCTTGGACCATCCAGACGGTATCAGTGGCACAACATCCCATTGGCCAAATTGTTTGCAATTGGATGGCCTGCCATCCCACTTCTCCTGCGGCTTTACTGATTGTCTCACGTTGGCCCTGTCTCTTCACTCTTACGTGTTTCCACCCTTTTTGTTCATAGTACTTCATACCATACTATCACCCAGTGGACTACTCGAATAATCGCATCACGCGGTAGGTTTGTGAACATATCCTTTATGTTGTAGCTCGCATCCGGTCCAATGATAGCCCCACTTGTTCGGTTGTTTCCTTCCAGTCTTGTGTCTTGTTCACCATGTCCATTGTCTTGAGCAGCTGTTGGGTACTTTGGTAAGACCCATAACATAAAACTCAATGCCATCCCCACCATCCGGCACATGCCTGCTGTTGTTGGCTCACTATGTGAAGGCTCGTCGTATCCTTGCGCTTCGGTATTACGTACACGCCACCCAACTGTTCTTTGCCGTTTCCATATCCTTTCCTCCTCAGATTTTTTCTCGCATATGGTAGGTATAATGTCCTCATCCGTTGTCCCCCCCCCCTCCCCCCCCATCATTCTTTGAGAAACATCGTCCTCATCGCAACTGCATATACCACTGGGCAGCAGGCAAAAGAGCCTCCTTCGTTGTGCTCTATGGGCATGACCACCAACCCCACCAGCTTTGTCTTGCTTTTCTTTTGCTCTTTTTTGTTTTTTGTTTTTTGTTTTTTTGTTTTTTTGTTTTCTAATGGATCAATCTATTGGTGGCAATGGTGGGGATATTCACCCGCTGCAAACCCGGTCCAGCGGGTGAATATCCCCACCATATGTCCATGACTGTCCAATGACACCGGGGCCACCATCTTTGTCTTCATTTCCTGTACTTTTCTGTCGTCTTCACTCCGTAGTGTGGCATCACAACTTCCTTGTCGCACGTGCTTTCACGAGTTCGTTGCTCTTAAATGGTTTCACACGAACTCGTGCTTTCACGAGTTCGTTGCTCTTAAATGGTTTCACTTTCCCATTTCCGAAAACATAAGTTACCCACGGCGCAAATCATTTACCTAAGGCCCATTTCCGAAAACATAAGTTACCCGCGGCGCAAATCATTTACCTCCTTAGGGATCCTAACTGGGCCAACCCTGGCCTTGGTCTGTTCGTGGAGTTCCTCGCACCTACGCTGATGCGGTTTTGTTGAGAAAATCTGAATACCAGGTGCGCTTCCTGTATCTTGCGGAATCCCTATCCCTTGGATGTGCATGCTTCCTCACCCATTTCGTCTAGTATTGTGCGTGCCAGCCATCCTCATATCTTTATATTGACGTATATAGTACTTCTGCAGCTAAATGTGACCTCACCCATATCACTCTGTCTCTCATTCTTCTCCACACGAACTCTGCTCCCGTGCTGCTTTCACATGTCTTCCGATCTTTCCGATCTTTTCTTTGCAACACCACTCTCATTCTGCTGAACTCTGCTATCGTGCTGCTTTCACATCTCTGTCATCTCTCACTCTTCTGCACATGAACTCTGCTATCGTGCTGCTTTCACATGACATTGTCTCCCAAACCTTGCCCTTGCAACACCTTACGATCTTGTCCGTATCTTTGGTTCTTTTAAAAAAGAATAGAACGACTGCATTCTACCGAACTATTCGTCGTGGCCGATCCGAGCTATCAATGTCTTCTGCAAAGTCTGCACATCGACCCTGAATCTCGTCCTCATTGTTCTCGCAATTACTCCTCGCAGCAGCGCCGTACCGGCGTACCGCCGTTCACCGTTCACAGGGTTCGGGAACGGCGGCCAGTCACCGGTCACGAAAAACGTGACCGGTCGCAGTTCACGTAGTTCACCGTGAGCGGGGATGGTTATTTTTTTAAAGATGTGAACGTGGTGTCCATGGGCACCCCCCAATTTTTTTATTTATTTTTTTGAAAGTCGGGATAAAACAAAGTCATAAAAATTCGTTTTTTGGCTGTTTATGGCGTGCCTTTGGTTGCATGTAGACCCCCATGACGGCAATGCTTTGGCAGTTCAAAAGCAGTGGCCAAATTGAAGAATTTGTCGTTGAAGGCAATGATCGACGATTAAAAATAAAAAATAAAAAAAATCCCAATTGGCCCCCCGCCAGGTTTTGTTTGGGGTGGTGGTGCAATAAAGCACCACGCCCCGTCTGTTGTCCACATTCGTGCGAGGGAGGCGGTCGCACAGTTTCCATGTGTGTGTGTGTGTGTGTGTGTGTGTGTGTGTGTGTGTGTGTGTGAGAGAGAGAGAGAGAGAGAGAGAGAGAGACCCCACGCAACCCCAACTGGAGGGGCGTTCAGAAGTGTGAACCCCGTTGGGAATTTTGTATTTTTTATTTTTTTTCAGCTTTCGAAGCGACGGGGGTGTTCACCGCCCCTGCGCAACCCCGATCCGCCCCGACCCTGACATCTCAGGCCGCCACGTGGCCCCCAATCCCGTGAACGGCCCCCATGAACAGCCGTTCAGGGAATTCAGCCCCAGTGACCAGCCGGTCACGTTCACGGTGACAGCACTGCCTCGCAGTATGACCCTTGTTAGTTTTGCCTTGAGCTGTCTTAACCCAGGCCCATAGTACAGACACAGCAATCTGTCCAGTGTACAGCTGCCAGAGTACAGGGTTATCCTGCACTGGGGTATCTTGATAAGAGCCGTCAAAATCTCTCTTATGAGACTATACATCCAGTCTTCTAGTCTTCTCGGTTAGGTCAACCTTCATGTCCCTTAGCTTTAACCTCCTTTCTTCAAGTTGTGTCCTTTCAATCTTCGTCCTCCCAAAACATGGTTTAGCAACTGACCAAGGTTTCACACCAGTTGGTTCCGTGTTGGATTTCAAAGCTCTCTTCGTCTCCTTCTCGTTCAATCTTCCTCAGTACAATCAATAACAAGAACCCACTATACTCCTTTTATGCCTTGATTTCCTTAGCTGTCATGGCCATTGCTCCATCCCTTCTGCTCTCTCTCTCTCTCTCTCTCTCTCTCTCTCTCTCTCTCTCTCTCTCTCTCTCT